AGCGCAAAAGGCGTCGGATTCAATTTGTAAATTATTTGGATGATGTTAATGGTGCTTATGGCAAACAAAGGAAACGAAAACGGAATAAGGAATTTCGAGTCAAATCTTACAAGTACTCCATGGGCAAAGAAGAGGATTAATTTTCATTCCTTTCAAATCGCTGTGTGTTTTACTCTTTTTGTTATTGGCTTTCTCATTCAAGAAGATAAGCTGAATCGCTGTAACGGTTGTGTCATTAAGGTAATTCCCTTGTTTTGCACTGCGCACCCTCTACTGCGCATAACATTGCTAAATCCAAGATGGCGGCGGTTCTTCCCACTAGGGCGAAAACAACAAATAAGGGCCGCTTTTGGAGAGCTAAAGCTTTTATCCGCAATAATAAAGCAGCAGATCGGCTGACAGCTTCCTGGTTTGTTATCGAAAAACAAGATAATGAAAGAAATGTGCGTGATCCCGAAGTCTGCAGTGGTTTTTCACTTCGCGGCCGTCGAATTGTGGAATTATTAAAATGTCCTGGCTGAGGCTTTGGATTATGGGGGCTGTGAAGTCTCTGGGACAGATCTACGGCTCTCCAACTGCATTAACGAGCCAGTATCTGGCCTGGAATCGCTACTGCACATATGTTGTTCCTGATTCCGAGAGTGGAGAGACGAACATTTCTGGAACAAATAAGACCCACCGTAGCACCAGAACCACGTGAGGGAGACCAGTCTTTGATGTAAACATGAAGTTTGCTGCTGAATTCACATTTTGCTGTGTATAGAAACCAAGCAAGCGAACGTATGAAGAAAAGCAATCAATAGTCTTTTCTTCAAGTTTCTTTGTCAAGCATTATTGTGCAAAAGCAAAAACATCGAACCAGCTCACTGGAATTAAACAGAACGCCGGAGCTACAAAATAGTCCAAAATATAGATTCATAACTCCAAAATCTCATCAAATCTTGACTTACCTCATCCCTTGGCATTTGAGGCTTTCTCTCTCTTTTTACTTCGAGTCGAGTTTTCATGGTACCAGACACAAGCCAAAACATTGAAAGTGTCCTCAAGTGAAATGGAAGGGCTTAAAGAAAAATTTAAAGACCTACTGCGTTCGAATCTAGAGGAGTTGAAAAAACTCCACTCTCAGGTCTTTTCAAAAGTGAACTGGGAAGGATGGGTGGTATTTTTGAACCTCATCGGATCAGCTAGGACTAACCGAGCAGGAATGGGTACTATTATTTCATTTTTTCGTGCCCACTCTTTCCCAGATTCGAGAGTAGCTATATAAATAAATACCAAGAGAAAAGGAGTCATTCGGGCTTGAACCTTCACAGCGATCATCAGGGATGGGGTGCTGTTCTCCTTCGTCCACTATTGGATTCGAACATATCTTTAACCGCATTCGTTGCGTATTAGCTTGCTGCGGGGATAAAGTTATCGTACAAAACTCTGAATTCTGTGATTAAGAAAACACTGGCCTGCATTTATCTAGACCCGATTCAACCAGAAAGTTTGGGTGGTTTAGATGCTGTTTACAGAGCAGTAAAAGACAAAGGAAAGAACAAGATATCGCGTAAACAAGTCCGAGATTGGTTGAGTCAGGAAGAAGATGTTTATATTCTTCATAAACCCGAGCAAAGACACTACAAGAGAACTCGAGTCATCGTTCCTGGAATATATGCACAATTTCAAGCCGATTTGGTGGATCTACAAAATCTCAGTCGCTACAACAAGGGATATAAACACGTACTGGCTTGTGTGTATTGATACCTTCAGGGGGTACGCTTAGGTGTTACCTTTGAAGACAAAACAGGATAAAGAACTAGTCAAAGCCTTTTAAAAGATCCTTTCTACTGGTCGCAAACCCACCAAGCGTCAAACGGATCAAGGGACAGAGTTTTTTTAATCGCCAATTTCAGACTTTCTGCATGAAGAGGTCATCGACTTTTTTACCGTAAACTCTGGGCTCGAGGCATCAGTGGTTGAGCGTTTTAACCGAACATTTAAGAATAAGATGTGCACGTATTTTACAGCTAATAAAACTCTCACGAATATCAATGTACTACCCCAGTTAGTATCCTCTTTTAAAAACACCTACCACCGTTATATAAAAATGAATCCAAGTCAGGTAACTAAAGCCAATGAAGCTTAAGTATGAGATACATTGTAAAGTAATGACGTTGAAAAGCGTGTGCGATTTAAATTTCAAGTGGGAGATCGCGTTAGGATCAGCAAAGTAAAGTGAGTGTTCCAGAATTCTTACTGTCTTCCCTAATTTAACGGAAGAAATATTCACTGTCTACAAACGAATGGCGTGTCAAGTCCCCGTCTATAAACTGAAAGATGATGCAGGCGCAATCTTAGACGGAACATTTTATATTACGAGCCCGAATTGCAGAAAATTATCAAGAACAATCAAAGAGAAGGAAATAAAAGAATGACGTCACACAAAGTTGTGTTGTTGTGGTCACTTATAAATGAAGAGCTCCCAGAAAAAAAGTTCATTTGAACATCACATACCATGGAGTCAACACAGTTTTATCTGCATCTCCCCTTCCTTGATAAATTTCTCCATAACGCGTTAACAGAGTACCGAGTTAGTTTACCATAAACTCTGATGCTGACAGGTGAATGGGAAGTGGCTTTGACCGAGATCCATTATCCGCATAACTGGAACAATATTCAACAGTTTCGACTTTACGTTCGAAATGAAAAACTCTACAGTGTTTAGAGATGCTCCCGGGTCATTATTCATCCATCGAAGATGTCCTTTAAAAGATGAAAGAGTTAGTGGACAATGAACAAAGGTATAAAGATGATGTGCGGTTTTTATGCGATAATCTCAGCAGAAAGGTTACGGTTTATTTGAAAAACAACGCGGAAGTCGTGTTAAATGATATGACCTATATGCTAGGGTTCAGTCCTAAACAAATTATTTTAAAGACCACCACGGGCGACAAACAAGTGCATTTGGAATACGGCTTTCACGATCTTTTCGTTAACTGTGACCTCATTCAATCACAGTATGTTGGCGATGCACTAGTACCTTTGATTGGAACTGTTCCTGTAGAAGGAGAGATCGGTCAGCGAGTCAGTAAATCGTTTGTGCTCCCTCAATATGTATCGAAGTCAATATAAAGCGAGCCACAGGGGAATCTGTGCCATTTGAGTTTGCAAGAGTGTTGTTAACGCTTCATTTTCGTCAAAGTCAATTTCAGTACTTTTAAAAATGAAAATCTCCACGTCCCGGCGGCGAACTGATTTTTTTCCCTGCGCTTTTCTTTTTGTACCTTTCCGGCAAGCTCGCTCACGTGTATATTGTACGTAAGGGTCGCGCGCGTGGCTAGACAGAAAACTAGCCGTATTTAGTACATCAAACAATATTTATTTACAAACTATGTACAACTTCAATCATTAGAAAAAGTACTAACCCTATTTACAAACATTTGCTAACAAAACTTAAATATCGAGAGGTAGAGTACTGACCCCATCTCCTAAAGCTTTGCGTTTTGAGATGAAAGTATGAAAACGCACAATGCACTTGTGTATCAGTATACTTGGTGTTGTTCACAACACAAAAACCCCGATTGACACCAGGACTTTTTTTTTTCGTGAGTAACACATCTAAATATTTCTCTTTTTTAATGTCAGTACATTTCTTGTTGACATCCTGCAGGAAAACTTGTCTTGTGCCCCAAAACAGTAATAGGTTTTGGAACACAACCCAACAATGCCTTGATCTTCCCACTCAACCTTGAAAAGACCTGGGGTTCTCTTGTCATACGCGTTACGTTCAGGCGTATCCGTGCGGGGAAAACAATTGCATTTATCTTGTTCAAACTCTACCATTAATTTTGGTCTGACTAAACTTTCTACACTGTTCCCAGTAATTGTGGTATAAGCTGAATCGGTATCCATCTCACAAAAAAAATCATAATAAAATTGCAGCATACGAAGTTTGACATACTGGTACACTACAAAATGAACTTGAATAGGCAAGTTTAACTTAACTTTGGGTCGCCGTTAGACACGAAACATTTGGGTGCTGGCATGGTAATCAGGAACGTTACTACTCACGCTGGCACTTAAAGGCACATGGCCAGATTGCCAGTTTAACTTATTTGTGTCTTTTAATTCTTGTGTTTTCTCCTTGTCAAAGTAGCATTCGAAATCAAATGTCGCACGGTACGGAAAATAGCGTGCTTCTTCAGGATCGACAATGCCTTCTTTTTCTAGTTCTTGAAAAACGGTTTTTGGTAGTCGTGCTACTCGCCACCCGGGTACTTGAGCTGCACTTTGCCGTCACAGGTCTTCTCGTGACTACTTTAACGAGACCCTTTCTTCCAATATTTACCGCAATGGGAACAACAGAAGGATCTAGACTAACGCGCGAGCGAACGGCGGATCAGTGTAGCGGCGATATCAGATTCATTTTTTTCGTTGTCTTCTCTGCGGGTTTGTTGAGTGAGTGCTAAGCTGTAAGACCCCCTGTACACTTAGATTTTCACTTTGCATAATTTTTCTAGTTCGTCCAGTTCACTTAACTTTAAACCATGAAATTTCTTGTTCACCAAACTGACTCGACGTTAACTCAAAACATGTGAATATTAATTAAAGTATAAGTTTTGCTATCGACACTAACTCGACAGTAAAGAGGAGTAAATTGACAGTTCTAACCCATGCACTGTCTCGTATTACATCACACATGTTCCACCTCTAAAAACATTTAAGATTACGATTTGACACTAGCTTAGTATTTACCAATTTAATATTTATGGTAAAACAGACAGCGTTACATTAAGTTTAGTAAGTTTGCATTCAATACTCTATAATAAAGCTCGGGTATGTTGAGCACTAGGCCACCATTCCTCCTTGTTTCTCTCCTATTTTGTATGTTTTCGTTTTACAGTTTGTTTTAGTTTTGATTATTTTTGTCAGGCTGTAAATGGTGGGATCAGCGGTTTGTACCATGCAGCCTTTATTTTGTATGTAACATTTTTTTAACTCATATTCACGCAGGTGCTTGGACGACAGCAACAACAACAACAGCAACACTCTTATCACATTCACCCACATCATCACCTTCACCCATATCTTCATTGAAAACAAAAACATCTGCAACATCGTCATCATCAAAGACACTCATATCAACATCGATAACAGAAATGTCATCACCCACATCATCATCGATGACAAGTGTACCAACAGTGATGGCACAAACATCAACAACAGCAACATTATCACCATCGCCCATATCAACAATGACAGCAGAATCGACAACTGCGTCATCACCGTTACCTGTACAATCATTGATAACAGAAATAGAAAAAACATCGCCATCTTCAACGTCACCCATACCAACTTTCATGGGAGATTCATCGACCGCGGCGGCATTACCGTCATCTGTACCATCACCGAAATCACAAGCACCACAATCAACAATAAAACAGTTATCATCAAAAACAACACAAACAACGACTGGGAAAAAATTGGTGAGTTATGGTGGATTGTTAATAGCTACAGATTTCTATTGAAAACACAAGCATGATAAAAACGCAACAAATTATTTCACCTCAAACTCGCGCAACCTGCAAGAGAAGATATGAACTGCATGGTAGCTCACAAGAAAAGATGCAAATGTTAATGAAAATTGCTGAGGTCAGGATAATTGTCTTCTGTGAAACCGGCCATAGCCTTTGAGGCAGCCCATTGAGAACAAAAGTTAGTTTCCTTCAGGACTGAAGGGCCCCAACAGTACAGGAAGAATTCCTAAGACAACAACTGCGATAATTTAAGTTGATGCGTAACATGACAACCGTAGAACCATAGAAAAGGAAGGAATAAAAGACGGTGAAAAAAATCAATTAATTATGTCTGAATGTTGAAAGAGGCTGCTCGGTGCCAGTTAAGACAAGAGAGTTATAAATCGTGGTCTTTTGCCAAAGAAGAGTTTGCAATTCTATAAATAAGAGAATTTTAATAATCTTTAATAAGGGGATTTCGTTTCTTGTAGCTCCGAGTGTTTGAGTCCGAAGTGAACGCAGTCAGCAAACGCTGTGACAATTTTCCCCCATTACTATGTGCTCGATACTTGTCAGCTATTGTCCAGTCCGTAATAGCGAGGTGTCCGCAAATAAAGGCTAAAGTTGACTGCGTCCGCCCGAAGCAAAATTAATAGTAAATGCTGATGTAGGGAAATACTATGGAACAAACTTGGCCAGTTCACAAAAATTTACACATTCCTTTGCAGGTATCTCGGTACTCTTCATCGATTAGGGCTCTCAATGTTAGCAACAAAGGTTCCTTACAGGTGAAGTCGTCCCTACTGCAAATAACTAACTTGATGCCTAAGTTGAATACGGCCTTGATCACTGGCTTATTAGTTTCGCATGTATTTATTGATCATTTTTATTCTTGAAATGAAGCACCCAAGAATAAAAAAAAAATTTAGTCCGTTTTTTCAAGATGATTTCTTTCTGATTTTATATCGGAAGGGACAAAAATTGATTAATTTGCTTGGTTCTTTTAGCTGATAACATCAAGCTGGTCAAAGACAGCCAGTCACATATTGACAGATATTTGACAACGTTCAATGTATAAACTTAATATATTCATGATAAAGACTAGATGGTATTTCAGCGGCATATCTTCTGTAATCCATTTTACCTTTTTTTTCCTTCTTCTTTTTCACAGGAAGCAATCAATGCAACCAGAATTTTTTTAGAAGACTTAAAAAAACTACCACCGGGAGGAAATGACATAAATATACTGGTAGCCATTCATGAACTAGAATCATTTGCAGTTAAATACGGCAAGACTCATCTCACAGCGAATGAAAGCGTAGTTATTGTACATGTGCAAAAACTGTTTGGTGAGTTTTATGCTCTGTTTGAAGTCAGGTCTGTTTTTTTTCATTTCTCAGTTGAATATTTATAAATTTATATCCAGCTTCATATTCAAGGTCACGTTAATTTACGTTAGATGCTGACGCTCACAAGGGAAAATGAAAAATATTTGGCCTTTACTTAAATGTTCTCTATAGTGTAATCAAGTGGTTAGTATGGCCGTAAATTNGGGGGGGGGGGGGGGGGGGGGGGGGGGGGGGGGGGGGGGGGGGGGGGGGGGGGGGGGGGGGGGGAGAGGCTGAGTGATCATACCTGGAATTAACAAGGACATTTAGATAGAAATCTTATTTTTGGAGTAAACTATCCCAGGTATTGATTTTTTTTCTATACGAACAGTCAGATAGCACAGATAGACTTTTCTAACTGAAATTTTCTAAAACCAGCCATTACAAATTGGGCTATACAAAAACTAAAAACTCTCATTGTCTGTGATTAATATAAGAAATGGCGAACCTGGAAGTGAAAGGGGTGTACCGGGGGGGTGTACGTTACATCTTAATGGGCCGACCATTTGACTTTTGAGGGGGAGGGTATGGATGCTTTCAGGAAAAAATATCCAGCAGACTGATTTCGAGGAAAAAATAATTCTTGCAAGGAAATGCCTCGCGGAAAAAAATTGTCACTGAACAGAAATATTTTTCATGGCTTAAAATGTTGGGGAAAAAAATCTTACATCGTCAAGTTGTTAATGTCAGGAAAAAAAATTATATCATCAGAGGTTTGGGGAAAAAAATTTTTACCCAAACCAAATCACCCATCCACCCCCACCTCCACCGTCAAAGTCAAATGCTCGGCCCCTGACCATATGGGGCTCCGCTATAAAATTTGCTTGCTATAACGAGTTTACAAGGAAAATTCACTAAAATTGTAAGCTATTGTATGACATCTTACGACTGTTGTAATAACCGATCATGACATATTTTATTGGTAAGGCTTCACAGTCAGAAAGTTATTGGTTATTGGTTTTTGTAGTAATGAAGATTCAGAGGGTTTTGGAAAACAATACGGAACCGATTACTTGCTCTAAAAGCAGTGGAACAGATCTAGAAAGCATTGTAATTCCTTCGGAAAACTTCAAAGCACAAGGTAAAAGCAGTGTCACTAGCTTCTTAATTATGAGACAATTGTCAGTACTTGCACTGTAGCGACCAATAATTTATTTTATAAGTCCTACCAGCTATTCAAACATTGCACTATACACGACCACTTCAGAGCACTTTGGCACCGGCAAGATTGTTTGGAATTTGTTAAGACTGAGTTAAGAATTCAAATAGCTTATACTATGCTAACTAAAGAAAGGGGTAATAAAAAGTCATAGACCTTAAAATTCGGTATCGGCTAAACATTTCACTTTTTTACCTAATCACTTTAATTTTATCTCAGACACTGTCACCGTATGCACGCTCTACCATGGTGAGGTTAGGAGGTGGATACCCGGTGGAAAAAGAGTTGGACTGAACGGGTTAGGCATATAGGCCTTTTCATCTCTTACATATAAAACATAGTAGTAATAACAAAAGCTAGAATAAGTGCGGGCGACAACGATCAAAGGTCAAAACGATTTTGCTCAAACGCTGTGCTTTGCGTACAAAAGCTAGAAGAAGTGCGGGCGACAACGATCGAAGGTCAAAACGATTTTGCTCAAACGCTGTGCTTTGTGTAAGTGTCGCGTGACAGATAGTCAAAACAAGCGTGATCAGATTACGAGTGAAAGAAGATCCAAACGCGCTCGATCAAATTGCGTTCTATGTATTCCATTCATTCTTAGTGGAAAGCCAAACGAACGCTGGCTACATACATGCTGTGACAATATTGGTTAACATTGGTTAACATTGAGATATTGTAAGTCGTGACGTATTAGCCTCGCTTTCATGGATTAAAGAGTTGTTGTTGAACCGCCATCTTGAAGTTGCTCAATTCACTTCGTCTTCTTGTCCGGCTTAATACACCGGTAATAATTGTTACATGGTGGCAGCGGTAAACAATGCCTACTGATTCTGACAGTCAAGCTTCTGGACCGCAAGCTTCAGCTCCTGCTTTTCGTCGGCCACAAGTTTCTCCTCCGCAACCTCTAGAGATCGAAGGCGATCGGGCCGACAACTGGAAAATCTGGAAACAACGATGGGAAAATTACTGTATCATCACGGGCTTAAACAACCAGCCAGAAGACTACAAGTGCGCCATTTTACTGCATAGCATTGGAATAGAAGCCATGCGAATTTTCAACGGCATGAAATTCTCCGAAGGCGAGGACCGTAACAAGATGGCAGATATTCTAGTCAAGTACGATCAGCATTTTCTCGGTCAAACTCAGGAATTCTTTGAACGTTTTCAGTTCAACCGTAGAGATCAAGCTTCTGGTGAGTCAATTGATGAGTATCTTTCAGTTCTGCGAAACATGGCTAAAACTTGTGGTTTCTGTGACTGCATGCGAGATTTGTTGATTATGGACCGCCTGCTCTTAGGCATCTCGGATGACAAAACACGCGAAGAGCTACTCTCTACTCATGATTTGACTCTGAATAAAGCTATTGACATCTGTCGAGGAATGGAAGCTGCTTCTCTTCACATGAAGGCCCTGAAGAATGAAGAAATTAATAAGATCAAGGATATATCGAAGAAGACAAAGAAGTCAGGCCTAGATAAACACCAGCATAAAACCAAGAAACCTCCCCAAAGTGATGATCAGAAACCTGCAAAGAAGAAGTGTCTATACTGTCTTCAAATTCATGTGATGAAAAAAGAATTGTGCCCTGCCTGGGGAAAAACCTGTGCAGCCTGTGGTGAAAGAAATCACTTCAAAGCCTCAAAGAAGTGTAAACACCAAGGTGTCAACTCTCTTGCTGATGGTTACTCCTCTGATTCATCTGAAAGCAGCACTGGAACAATTAGCACTGTAACAGCTTTTGAAGATCAAGTTGTCAATTCAGTAAACCCTGGCAACCAGCTTATTTTCTGCGAAATGGAAATCAACAAAAGGCCTGTCAGAATGCAAATTGACTGTGGGGCTACAGTTTGTATTCTTCCAAAGCACTACCTGGGGGATCAGCACGCTATTCGTCCTGAGAGGGTTCATCTTCAGATGTGGAACAAAACGTCTTTACCTGCCCTTGGCAAGTGTGAGGTCAAAGTCAAGAACCCCACCACTAAGAAGAAGTACAAGGTGGACTTTGTCATTGTTGACAACCACTTCACACCTCTCCTCAGCTGTATTGCTGCACAGAAGATGAATCTCATGAGTGTCCATTATGACAAGTTTAAAGCAGTTAATGTTGTCACCCATGGTAGCCAATACTTCAAACAGTTTCCTGATGCCTTTAAAGACACCCCTGGTACCCTACCTGGGAAGAAAGTTCACTTAACAACCATTGAAGGTTCCACTCCTGTCGTCCGTTGTGCCCGCACTCTGCCTGAGTCTAGAAAACAAGTTGTCAGAGATGAACTTCAGCGTTTAGTGGATGCAGGAATCATTGTGCCTGTGGATGAACCTACTGACTGGGTCAGTCAAATGTCTGTTGCTGAAAAGAAAGCTGGAATTCGTATCTGCATTGACCCAAGACCTCTTAATGAAGCACTGAAACGTGAACACTACAAGCTTCCCACTCTAGAAGATGTTCTTCCAGACCTTACCAAGGCGAAAGTATTCTCTGTTTGTGATCTCAAGTCTGGGTACCTTCACTGTGAGCTCGATCATGCATCAAGTTTGTTGACCACGTTTGCCACGCCTTTCGGACGCTATCGGTGGCTTCGTCTCCCATTTGGTTTGAAAGTCAGCAGTGAAATCTTCCAAAAACGACTACATCATGCTCTTGAAGGCCTTGAGGGAGTCCGCTGTATCGCTGACGATGTGATTATTTGGGGTCGAACAGATGAAGAACACGATGCACGTGTCTGTACCTTCCTCAAGTGCTGTGTCGATAAGGGTATCACCTTGAGCAAAGAGAAGTGTCGTTTTGGTCTCAACGAGATCCCGTTCATGGGCCACGTGTTGACCAGTGATGGCCTCAAGCCAGACCCCTCCAAAGTTGAAGCAGTCCAAAACATGGCACCTCCTCAAGACAAAGCAGCAGTGGAAAGACTAAGAGGAACTGTGAATTACCTGTCTAAATTTGTTCCAAACCTGTCTGATGTGATGCGTCCAATCTATGACCTAGCCCGCCCCACCTCTGAGTGGACGTGGGATGCTGTGCACGAGAAAGCTTTTACAGAGATGAAGCGCTTGCTGACACAAGCACCTGTACTAGCCTACTTTGATCCAAGTAAAAGCCTAACGATCCAATGTGATGCTAGTGGACAGGGGCTGGGAGCCGCCCTCCTTCAAGACGGCCAGCCACTAGCATACGCCAGCCGGGCTTTGAGTGAAGCAGAAGCCAGATATGCCACCATAGAGAAGGAGATGCTCGCGATTGTGTTTTCCCTAGAAAAATGGCACCAGTACACGTTTGGTCGTCCTGTGACTGTGTATTCAGATCATAAACCACTTGCAAGCATCGTGAAGAAGCCCCTGGACAGAGCTCCTAAGCGCTTACAGGGAATGTTAATGCGCGCCCTGGCATATGACATCGAAGTTAGATACCTAAATGGTAAAGAAATGTACCTAGCCGACACGCTCAGCAGAGCTCACCTGCCGAGAACCTCTGATTGTGGACAAGAAGAGTTCGAGACCATAAATGCCCTCTCCTATCTGATCATGCCTGAAGAGAAGATTCATGAGATCCGCCAGCACACCAGTGACGATACCTCTCTTCAACAGCTGAAATGCATAATACAAGAAGGTTGGCCAGCAGACGAGAAATCACTACCACCCCTCGTTACCCCCTACTTCAGTGTCAGGGATGAACTTGCAGTTACAGACGGCTTGATATTCCGCGGCGAGCGACTTGTGATACCTAAAGGAATGCGAGCAGCAGTCAAGAAAGACATCCATAGCGGACACCAAGGAATTGAAGCCTGCCTGCGCCGCGCAAGGGAACATGTCTATTGGCCAGGAATGAACAAGGAATTAAAAGCGTGGATTCGCACCTGTGAGAC